TTGAAGCTATGAACTAAGTTCAGGTATGATGCACAAAACTTCCCAGAATGAGATCTGCTGACATCATTCCCATCTAAACACCAACTGTGACCAATGGACAGTTTTACAGCCATGATTTCTCTGAGTTGACTCTGCATCTTCAAAATGACTTACAAATCATCAAAATTGTGTCAGATAATTTCTGAGCTGGATTCTATCCTTTGTTCAGTTAAAACTATTATATTTATAGTGGCTCCAAAAGCCACAAATTCTAATATCTGACAGGAAGGGACAAACTTTACCAACAACATCAGGTAGGGATCCAACTTCCTCAGCTGCTTTTTCTTCTGCATTTTTCCAAACCTTTTGAAATGTGGCTTCTCTGAAACAGAAAAAAGCTTTGATTTGAACTACACACACAACAAGGGACTTGAAATGGGTATAATGTTCCATTTAATTGGCAAAATGTAACAATGAAGTGAACACAAGCATCATTATAGCTTCAAAGAACATGGTTAAAAGAACTAACATTGCTTCTTCTGATATTAATTGGACTAATTATATATCCTGGGTTGATCACAACCTCAACTATGATGGCATAAAAAGCAATAAATGCTAGATTTAATACATATAAATTACAGAGACATGCAAACTTTCTATAAAAGGTATAAAAAACAGTCAACTGTTAAGTAAGAACTAGTAAGAAATGTGGAAATAGCCTTTTTCTGCCCACTGCTCTTCTCCTCATCTGGGGGACTGTGCTTCCCCATGGGGGAAGTGAGAATAAGGGTACCATTATTCTGCAGACTAGTTGGAGTGAAAAGAGTGGATGGACACACTAATTCACTTTATTGCTCATTAATTAATCATCAATGCATCATCATATAAACCATTAATACAGTTAAAAATATAGTTTAAAAATGTGGATTGGGCTGGGCTTCTATCTAAATTGCTATGAACAAAAAAGACATATAATTTATTTTAAATAAAAGCTGTATGACATGCATGCCATTGCAAATACTAGCTTGTTAACCTGCACTTTAACTGACTCATTATACATCTGGCAAGGAGACTATCACAAGCTGTGACCAACAATTCAGGAATGTCTTAAGTCCCAGTGCAGACACCAGAGCTTCACAGAACTGGGTTTTCATGCTGTTCTCTACCTGTTTGGCAACAGTGTTTCTGTGGGGTCATTGCAGGCTGTTTTCTCAACCCACTTCTGCTGGTAACACAGGAGCAGCCTGGCATCAGTAGAAATGTCTGAGACCTTAAGCAGAGAGAGCTTTTTGCTCTGTGTAGGAAACCCAGCCTTGCTCCTTGCTGCATTCAAAGAGCGGACGAGGAGAACCTTCAAAGAACCATCACAAAACCAGTTAGAATTCTCTCCAACCTACTGAACAGAATATAACAAAATAATTGATAAGAAGAGTGGAGGGGAGGTGGCAGAAGAGGCAGGTAAAATAACAAACATCACTTTGCATGTGTCACGATTTTCATCCCAGGCTACACCCCAAATGGGAAAAAATAAGATACCCCTCTCCTCAGAGAGGAAAACTAAGGCAAACTGCCCTGCATGCTCTGTTTATAGTTACAAGGAAAGTCAACAGCAGAGTGAGAAATGCCTGAATCAGGCCTACTATTCTCTTAATTTATCTTTTACTTCAGTGTTACAACCATTCTGCCTTCAGGTGACACATCCTGACAGGCAACCAAGACACAGGAACACCCCTGGACACATTACAAAGCAGGTAACACAAACATTTTCTACTAAAACAAGAGCCAGAAAGGTTGAAACTGACCCCTGCTTTGAGGTCCCTCAAAGCACTTGTACCAGCCAGCAAACAACCCCCCAACATTTGGCTGCTTCCCCTCTTTGTTTTTACCTCATCCTCAAAGATCTGCCTGTAGACACCCCCCCTGGGGACGAGGTGCACGGCCCCCACCACCTGCATGTGGCCCAGCACAGCAGCCCTGGCTCCCAGAAGAATTATGCTTTCCAAGCTGGAAGCCAAAGGGAGAGAAAACACTTCAGTTTGAGAAGCTTCTCCGGAGAGAAAACCCGCCCGGATCCCGCGATCGACTCACGGCGCGGCGGGCAGAGCATCCGAAGGGTGTGCAGACACCAGCGTGGGGGCTGAGCAGGGTTTGAGGACGCAGGGCTGAGGGGGAAGAGCCGGTCCCTGTGTCCCCCCGAGAGGGGCTGAAGCGACTGGTCACCCAGCAACGGCGGGGCGGGGTGTCACCGTGGCAACGCGAGGGGCGGGGCCTGGCATCGCCCCGCCCACCGGGGTTAGTTAGGAAAGGACACTAATTGCGACTGTAATAAGTCCAGCAGAAGGTGCTTCTTCCAAACAGGGCGTTTAATTAACAAAAATACAGCAGTACTGGTTTTAACTGGTGGGTCCCCCCGGGGCGCTGCCTCCCCCAGCTCAGGGAGCACCCCAGGATGTCCCTTCCCCCTCCCACCTCCCCCTCACTTTAACCCAGCTTTTCTCAAGTCCTCTGGCAGAACACGGCCCTTCTTCCGGGCCCTGGCTTTCTTCTTCTCCATCCTATCCTTCTTCTTCTTCTGAATGTTCTTGCGGCGCTTCTCCTGCAGCTGCTGCATCTTCTCGGCCACCCTCTCCGTCCTCTGCTCCCAGCGCCGCTGCCGCTGCGCCCGGCGCTTCTCCTTGCGCTTCAGCGCCTCCTTCAGCCGCTCCTCGTCGTCACGGATCTTCACCCCTTCCGCTTTATACAGGACGTTCGTCCATCTCATCTTGTTCTCCAGCTCCTGGGCCTTCTTCTCATCCTTCTCCTTCAGCTCCTCCAACTTGTTCTTCCTGCTCTCCAGCCTGCTCAGCAGCTGCCTGTAGTTCTTGCCTGTCAGGGGGGTGATGTTGCCTTTCACTGCCTTCCTCTTCTCTTTTTTCTTCTGGACCTTGTTCAGCTCATTCTCTTCATGGACTTCCACCCTGTTAAAGACCACCTCAGGTGTGCTCTCCTCCTTTTTGCTTTCTGGCTCTACAGGAACCTCCTCAGCTTCCTTCTTCTCCATCTTTGCCTTCATCTTCAGCTCCTTCCTTCGGCGCTTCTTCCTCTCCCTCTCGTACTTCCTTCGCTGCCTCCTCTCCAGGACTGCAGGGGGTAATTCTTTGGCATCATCCTAAGAAGAGGGATGGAAATTAATCAGGAGCCTCAAAGGGATAAAGCAGAATTAAATGCAGGATATCCTCAAGTTCCTGATTTCAAACTTCTAAGAAACGCTCTGCACTGGTGACTAGAGGCTAAACAAGCAAAGGCGTTTCAAACACTTTACTCTCTCTTAACACCCAGGAGCTCTCCCAAGCTCTGGGTGTTTTTACTTTTCCCAAAGACCACCAGGGGCATCCTGTCCCCCAGCCAGGCCCTGCCATCCCCCAGGTGTCCCAGCAATACTTCCCAGACACTTCCTCAGGACACAGACTGAGCTCAAACCATGACCCTGTAAGACCGTAGCCTTGTCCCCACATCCCTGGGAGGTGAGAGACTTTACACACACATATGGATACATAATAAGAGTTCTCATACTTGTCCAGAAGCTTTTTTTATCTTCTCATGTAATCTCTGACGCAAGAGATTCATTGCAGAGAAAGAAGGGGAACCCAGTTCACTTTTGCTCCCTGAAAATGAGAGGAATAAAAATACTTTAAGACAGCACTGGCTGAACAGAAGAACTTTCTATGGCTATGGGAAAAGCTCCAATAACTCTTTAGATGCTGTAAATAAAAGAATGGGAATTCTAAAGAAACCAAGACTTCCTATTTCCTTGGTTTCTGCAGCATTTCCCCTTTCCGAGCTGTATTATCCTTCCACACTGGCAACCAGAGCAGCCCTGTGGCTGCCAAACAAGCCAGAAGACAAGCACTCGGGTGATGTAACCAGAGACGCCAACGACATCTCTGTACCGACCCCGGGAGGCCGGCCCGGCGGGACAGACATCGAGGCAGCTCCCAGGAGTCACCCAGGCACATCAAACCACCAGGCTCCTGTTCCCCGGGAGCCACCCCGTGGCGACCCTGCAAACCTCAACGCGTTGCAGAAGCTCTCGAGCACATGGAATAAGCTGAGGCGTTTTCAGTGCAGCTCAACTCAAGGCTTCCCAGGCCGTGCACACGTGGAGCAGCAGAAAAGCAGCCCCCTCGCCTCGATTTTAACCCAACCACAGGAACAATGATGTTCTCACCTTTAACCAAGCCCTCATTTCTGCTCTCTGTGACACCCTGTGGGGATGATTTA